AAGAAAGAAAATCCTCAATACACTTGTGTATCATTGAAAGGAACTAGAAAGTCACTCAAAGATGATATAATATTGAATTAGAATGGCTATTGCCAAAAACAAAAAGACTAGAAAGTCTTGAAACAAAACTAAGGAGTAAAACGACATTGATAAGAGTACAGAAGGCTTCACTCTTACCTCTATATATACTCTTAACTAGGAGCTACATGGCGATGTCCTATAAGACCTCTAAAACATGTTGACTTTGCTAGCCACATGTCTTAACTAACAAGGCAAGTTATCTACATATGCGCTACATGGTAAGCTTGTTCTACAAGCTACTATACATAATTAACTTATTCTATAAGCTACCAACATGTGGTTAACTTAATGGCCAAGTTTCCAACCTATAAACACATCTAAAGTCAAAACTGTATCTATAAAGCTTTTAGGAAGCTTCTTTAAAAGACTTTATGAAATTAATCTATATTTACCTACTTCTACCTAATCATATAAGTAATTATTGAAGTAAATGTATATATCCGTGACAATAGACTACATTAGTCTAATCCATGCTTCTTTAATTCAATTATTTAGGCCAAAATGAAAAGAAGAAAGAACATGCTGGCCAACTAGAATATCATAATTGGTAGTATTAGTCGCAACATACTTTAGAAATAAGAGTGAATACAATGGTTGAAGTCAAATGGAAAATATTAATTACAATAGCTATTTGGTAGAGCCAATAGCTTGCTTTGTGTCCCCTACTAAAATGATAATGCTAAAAGGACAAGGCTCTAAGTTTGAAGCAATGAGACCTAATTTTTGACCAAGCTACTTACTAGTCATAATTGATTGAACACTAAAATCTATTATAATATATGAAAATATAATACAAATTATATTACCACCAATATGAGTAAAAATAATCATTTTATTATTATTAATTGGCCTTATAAATCTTAAATACAAGTTTTGACTTAAATGCTCCATATAATCTTTACTTCACAAATGCAAAATGTCAATGGCTTCTTTGAACTACTTCTACATAAAAATGACTCAAAAATGGTTAAATTTGGACTCCACATGCTCTTGAAGTGAACTTCCAAACATAACACTTAAATTTTTTGGAAAAATGTGGTTTAAAAAAAAATTAAAAATTAAAGAAAAAAAAAAAAAAAAAAAAAAAAAAAGTAATTGCATGTTGTTGCAAGGTCTAATCACCGTGGGGGCCCTGTCACTGGAAGTTCCTGTATTTGCATGACCCTGTTACCATGCTAGGCTTATATCGGCACGCTTGTCCTTATCACCGAGTGACGCAAGGTGTTGCAAATTCCCGTTGCTTACCACCGGAAGTCGCTGACTGCAGCAGCAAGTGGCAAACTCTCTGTGCTCCCCCGCTCCACTTTGACAACAAAGAATTCAGTGAGTGGCCGGAGCAATGGCGATGCAGACAAGATCGGCGATGCGTAAGGACACAAGAGCGCAAGACTGATGAAACCTTTCACAGCAACGGCTCTACTTTTCCCGCAACCTAGCACTGAAAACCAAAAAACAAAAAATAACTAAATATCCAATCAACAGCAAGGCCGCTCCAGAAAACCACTGCACCGCAAACAGCTCTCTTCTGTCGCACCAAAACCCTGAGCCATAGTCCCGGCGCCTCGACTCTGACCTTGAGCTCCGCCTCCGCGCTTGCCTTACTGCGTCGCACCTGACCAGATCCCCGCAACCCTATGCCAACAAACCTTCGCAACTCAATATTGTTCCGTTTTAGCTCTCTGCAGTGCAACCTACCCCAATACACTCTCACCAATATAATATGGCAACACAACCTCGCACCATGCATCCCGATGCACTCTTGCCAGGTGACACAACCTCTATCCCAGATAAGACAATAATCCACCAATACGTAGCGACCTCAACGTATCCCGCAAGTAGTATTCCGGCACTCTAGTCCTCCAGTATTGCAAAACTTCCAGTGATGCATCTAGACTATAGTACAGTGTCCCAACAGATTGAAGTTTTTTTTTTTTTTTTTTTTTTTTTTTGTTATCTACACCATTTCAATCTTCTACATCACAACTTTAAAAGGAGAGAACATACTTCAACTTATTTGTGTGGATCTACACACAAATAAGTTAAGCTATCTCTTACATCACAAAAGGGAAATCCAAGAATGTAAGTGTCAATAGAAAAAACCCTAAAATGGCTAAACCACCATAGCCGAGCAAATCCTTGTAACCCAAGTTTTTTTTCTCCAAAATCACTCACAAGACTTGAATATCAAGTGAAGAGTTTTTTTCTACTAAAGTATTCAAATCCTACTTGATACTAACAAAATCAACTAAGAAAAAAAATTCAATGGATGAAAAAGAATTAAACCAAATTAAATTACATACATTTGATGAGATTTTGCACCCAATGCCATATCATGTGACAATATATATATATATATATATATATATATAGTAAGCTTTGAAATATATAATAAATCTTAATTTTAGTGTAATATTAGAAATTAAATAACTATATATTTTAAACTTCTCTATGCAAAACAAAACTCTCTTATTCTAACAATGTTAAATCTTAGGTACTGCTAATGCCACCATATTTTTTGTTACTACCACCATAACTTGCCACCCACCTAATATATTTCCTTAGTTCTTTTTTACAACTCTTGAATTATTTATTCTATATAATTTCAAAAATACAAAAGAAATATTTGAAATATTAGTAAAAAAATTGAATGGGTGACAAGTTGTGATGGCATTAGCAATACTCTAAATTTTTATACACTTCTAAAGGAAGGAAAATTAAAAGCATTAAGAACCTCATATGTATATTTCTTTTTAAAATATCTGCATATTTAATTAAAGCATCATCTTTACATAGATTTATTAAAACTTTAAATATATTTTTGTTTTAATTAGTTATATATTTTATTTTTTAAAAACGTATTTTATAAATATAAAATTTAGTAGCTATGGAATGCCATATTTAATCAAATATTAAAAATTCTTCTATATTTCATAACTAATAAATTTCTTTATAATTTTTTTATGAGTTAAAATTTTTTTAATACTAAAAAAGATTTTAATATAACTATTCTAATTATATAAATAGATTTTGATTTTAAAATATAAAACTTAAATCATGATTAATATTTTTTGATACTCTGTATAATGTAATGGTTGACTTATTTAACTATTTGGAAATTCTTATAGAAAAAACACAATAATTTCACATAACTCATATAATCAAGAAATATTAAAGTTTCAAAAATAATTATTATTTGACTAAAGCTTTTGACATTGTATCTAGTTTAAAAAGTTATAAATCAAGAATATGAATTAGTGCTAAAATTCTTATTTACATATTTTGATTTTTACATTTCAATTTTTTTAAATATTTTTTAATCAAAAAATTATTTACATAACTATAACTTGATTTAAATCTATATATATATATATATATATATACATATATATATGAGTGGAAATCTATGCCATTAGCCACAAACAAACATTGTAAACTATGTGTAACAAATTATTTGAAGCTTCATATGATGTGAAACTTCATATTGCATGTTGTTCTACTATGTTCCATGCCGTTCCATATTGTAGTGCTTTTGAGCTTTAGGCCTAGTGATCTTATAGTCCTACTCTTGGCAATTTGTAGCATCATGTAAATTTTGATCTTTGATTGATCAAAAGTTGAATTATTGCTTCACTTTTGATCAAAACAATAAGATATGCAACCAATTAGAGATGGTTTTTGTCTCATTTGATTTATCCTATTAGTTTATCCCCTTTGAGTTGTTTTATATAAGAGATAGGAAATTGTTAAATTGACCCAAGCATTTAGTAAATCGACTCATCCATCATCATTGGTTGAGAATCCAACCAATTTTTGTATTGGTTTTCAACCAATATGAATCACATGGCAGAGAATTTTTTTTGATGATAGTTAGGATGGGTGGATAAATTTAGTAAATACTTGGATCAATTTAACAACTTCCTATATATATATACACACATAAATTTAAGATATTTTAATTGGTTCTCTTATGTATACTTATTAAATTCCAAAATGCTATATAAACAAATAGCATTTAATAGCATTTGTAAACATATTTTCTTATGTTTATTTTTGCGCTCATACGTATATGCAATCCCTATGCCACGACTGGAGTTCTTCCCGCCCTTCGCGTCATGCAAAAACTGCCGACGTGGCCATCCGACGTGGAAGCCAAGCCGAGGTTTTACACAGCGAAAGCGGACGCCACGAGTCGTCGTCTCCGTTGGTTCGTGTTTTAATTGCAAGAGCTTGTTGAAGCGGCGACAGATAGAAAACTGATCGCATCGCTGTGGCTGCTGCTGCAGGCGCAAGACCACTTGCAATGCGATAGAATGAGATGCGATGCGATCAGGTCCAAGGCTCGATTTAGAATGGCAAGTCCACGCAAGAGCCGTCGTCGACAATGAGAACACTCATCGAAGACAAAAAGCAATGAAACCCCGAGTATAACACTTCATGCTAGTCTCGCACTGAGGTCGGTCAAATCACAGCCTTTTCGTCAAATCTTACTGCACACATGAAAACCTCCGCGGCTTGTCTTTCGGGTCGTCCAGTCACATCGGGCTTCATCGCCATCAAGTCCACTCGCGTTGAGCGCGCTTACACTCTCGTCGTTTCCTGCAACGCTCCGACTCAACGCCTGGGTCTAATCGTAAATGGGCTATTGTGGCAAGTGACGCCGGAGGAGTGTCAGAGAGGAGGAAGGAGCCGGGAGCAACATACAAGGACTGCAGGTGCACCAGCACCAGCAGCGCATGGCGACTGCGCAGCTACAGAGCGTGTCAGACCCCCCATCAGCTGCATTGATGCTGCCCTTCCCTCTCTGCGCCGACCACACCATCAATCACGCCAGATCGCCCACTCAGTCACAAGACGACACCTACCCACCGCCTCGTCTAGGCTCGTCAAAACGCGGAGCTGCTGAGGGTGGTTCAAGTGGAAGGAAGTGGGGTCCTACTGTGCGCATCCCGCTGTAAGAGCGCTGTAATGTTGTTTATAAGGTGTTAGTCTGGCTTCAATTGGCCACACCAGTATCCTCCCCTGTCCTATATCGGTTGTATCTTTATCCTCTAGCTGCCGGCCTCGAGCTAGCCAGTGAAGTCGATCAATACAGTCCAGCTGATCCAGTTACCCTCAACCACCGCAAGTACAGTGGAGCCGCGTTGCGATCGATTGCCAGTTCATGCACTGCAGGGTCACTTCCACGACATGAGTAGTCGTCACCACTAGACTCCGCGGTGCCCGCTTTTCTCCTCAGCTCGTCACCGCTATATCAGCTAGTAACGTTCTGTCAGGTCCATAGGCTCATTATGTGACTGCTTGCGAGCGCTTGTGATCAGTTAAGCGCAACTTGTGGGGATGACCTCTTGTTGACTCCTTGAATGCTGCAGCGGCTGCTTTGCAGTCAGCTTGCCTTCGTTTCGATCTAGGACAGTGGGTTTAGTAGCAAGTTTGGTGTGGAAGTAAGTTCTTGTTTCGCTGTAGGTTGTTGGAGCGGCAGCAGTTTTCTTGCTGTTTGTATGGCAGCGCAGTTGGAGAAAAGTTCCAGTATGCGCTCTGATCGGGACTCGCCCATGGCGGCCTTCCAGAGGTCTGCCTCTTCAGTGAAGGAGTCTACCTGCATCAACGTCCCAGTGCTGCAGCGCAACAGCTCCCTGCTCAAGGGTAGCCCTCCACCGGAGAAGCTGCGACCGCTTCCTTCCTTGAACAAGGAAGGCCAAGGCAAGAGCGGCCATAGCGAGGCTATCCGCAACCGCAACATCGCCATCGGTGTTTTGTCGTCTCTGCTCTTCCTAGCCGTGGTAGTCCTTCCATGGGAGGGAAGCGTGGGCCCAGCATACATTGCCAAAACAAGCAATGTAGGCAAGATTGCCGTCGGTGTCACTGGTAATGTTGACCCCTTTCAGAGCAAATGGGCTAACGCTGCGAGAACGCGCCCATATCATCACTATGTTAAAAGGTCGTTCTTCGGTGGCTCTAAGTTTCTAGTTAGCGGTCCTGCTATATCTGTCACTTACCACGACGGACCTATTCTGGCGGGCAAAGGGGGTGTCCTGAAGGTGCATGTCATCTACTACGGCGCGTTTGCCCCTGGTCAAAAGGCGACCATCAGTGACTTCCTGCAGTCCTTCTCCGCGCCGAAGGCTACTGCTGGGCACCCCACCGTCGCCGGCTGGTGGGCCATCACCAAGGGTTACACAGACGGGTCTAAAGTGCCCGTTGCTCAGACTGTTGTTCCCGGTAGCGTCTATGAGGACGCGGCTTACAGCTTGGGGAAATCTTTGCAGCAAGCTGATGTGGAGAAGCTGGTAACCTCCTCCCTGGGCAAGGGCCTTGTGCTTGACCCAGCGGGAGTGTATGTTGTATTGACATCGGCTGATGTCAACGTGCAAGGCTTTTGCAGCTCCCAGTGCGGGACCCATCTGTACACCTTCCCTTCGGCTGCGACACAATCGCATGTGCTCCCTTACGCCTGGGTGGGGAATGCCGAGAAGCTGTGCGCAGGATATTGTGCGTGGCCATATGCCAAGCCCCTGAAGGGAACTGGGCCCGACGTGCCGCCGTTGAAAGCCCCCAGTGGCGATGTCGGTGTGGACGGGATGATCATCAACATTGCCAGCTTGCTTGTGGGCGCAGCAACTAACCCTTATGCCACAGCTTACTTTCAGGGCGACGCAACAGATCCTCTGGAAGCCGCCGGCGCTTGTGGCGGAATCTATGGATCTGGTGCCTACCCTGGCTACGCTGGGCAGCTCCTGTCGAACCCCACGACGGGGTCTAGCTTCAACGTTTACGGTGTTAATGGCCGGGAGTTTCTTGTGCCATGGGTGTTCAATCCTGTCACGCAGAAGTGCGCAGGCCAAGTATAATATGTCGCAGTGTTAGATCGATTTGTGAGCCTGCTTGACATCTGTGCTGCTGACAGCCTTAAGTGAAGAGCTCCCATGGCAGCCGATGCAACGCGAGGAGAATTATTTTTTAGTACATACGGTTCATATCGTTGATTTCTTTGTGACGTCGTTTTGTTCACAGACAGGCTAAGAGAGTTTGTGTCTGATCATTTTATTTTGTCGCTCTTGGTGCTAATATGGAAGTGAAAACATGAAGACTAGTGGAATGGCACGTGAGCTTTGGCGTTTAGGTTGCCGTCAATGATGTAGTAGTCCTGAACACATTACATAAAAAGTTTGAAATGGTGGTAATTTGTAGGCTTTCGTTCTGGTGATGCCAACTTCGTGAGTTGTCTTACTGTACATGTCAGAATCAATCTGGTCTGGTGCAATGTCTTCGTAAGGTTTTGAATTTTGTAACTTGATTGGACACTGGCATGAAGACCATGAATGCAATTGCACTGACATTGTTGCCACGCAGTGTCAGCATTGATCCCAGAAACCAACGCTACAATCAACTTTAATCTGCCATACTCACATCATTACGAAAATTCACGAGCATGCTTAAATTATCAGCTTCTGAGGCACATGCCAAGAATTTCCTTCCTGCGATTAAGCAGCGAAGTGCGTGCCAATCTCAATTACAAACTACCCCGTATCATTTCAATCCTCGTACTTTTCTTCGATCCCAATGCCTGTAGGACCCGCCCGCGATACTACCAACTTTCTCCACATTATGCTCATGCGATGGTATGGATCATATCTGCACTTTACTCCATTCCCATGATACTGGACGTCGGCCTAGGTTCCTGCCGTTCCTGACATGCATTTTTCACTCCACCTGTTGCTACCATCTCACTGCGCGCGATGTTGGCAGCTGGGTGGCGAATCTCAGCTTAGTACAAGCATGATTAGGAAGTATAACAGCCGAAGACATAATCTAGACAGCTGGAGTACTAAATCTAGCAGCGCCATCGATATGGACAAGCTGCACTATCCCGTGCCTTGTCGTAGCTCAGTCTGCTCCAGCTCTAGATCTAGAGCTGGAGCTACGACAAGTCCCTCTAAAAAAGAATTACCGAACATCGTAGCACACTCTTGGAGTTGATGAAGGATGTGTGTGATTGAGCTGTCGAGGGTGAGTGTGGCGTGGAGCTGCAACTATGAGCCATACTTTCACCTCACGCCTTACTCACCCTCGACAGTCTTCATTGAGACTACCGAAACAAAATCTACACCAAAGGATTTGCATTATTTGGTGCTACGGGTGTTTGCATTAACGCGTGTCTGGCGTGAGTTTGAATTTGCTTAGTTTCTTACACTTGTTTGGACTTTGGTGTTGTGCTGTCTTGCTTTGCTTGATAGTTGTGCCTTCCATCATGGTTTAAGAGGCTATTGAAGGTACATTCTTGCTCAAACTCTTAAATTACATGCTGATAATTCTGCAAGTTGATTATTAGAGAGGAGTAATGGCACTTGTGATCATATGCATGGTTGTGAAAACAGTTTAGAAGAAAATTATTACTTTATTATATTACACATATTAGAAAGAAAAAAATAAAGATCCTAATTCTATTCTTTTATTAAATTTAAAATTAGAATTAAAAACTGGATTGAAAAAAAACGTTATTGAGTTCTAATTGAAATTTGATTCTATTGATAACATTGGTTGTTTTTCAGGTAAATTTGGCTATCATCTTTAAAAACATTCACAAACATAACTTTAAGAATCTTAGTTAGAAGTTTCAATCATTAACACATGAGTGTACATTTAACTTAGATTGCAATCTTGACTATAGTTGGTAATTGTACTTATAATACACTTTGATTAAAAACTTGTTTAATAACTTTGATACTTAATCTACCTGAAAAGTTTTACTTAGATGAAATTGAACTAAATACGAGAAATCATCCATAGATCTTTGTTTGAACAATAATTAATTAAAAATTAATTAGATCGAAAAAACTACTTAACATATTACAATCAGATACACATTTGCTAAAATGTGCCACCACTCTAACCTAATCAACATATACTACTAAGCTACAACTTGTTAAAAATATCTTGTCAACAAAATTTCAAATCAGATAATAATATAAAGGACATTGATCCAACAACAATACACAATTGCAAATTCAACCACATTTTAAAGGTTTCAATTAGATAAATCTGTAGGAATACAAATACTCACATCCAAGTCCATCAATTTGGTTCAAGAGTCGATTTTTAAACCACATTTTGAACAAACTAGAACCCAGTTTAGATCATGTCGTCTTATTAGTTTTAAATGCTTAATGCCCAAATTTAACTCAACCTTCTATTCAGTATAACTACAGAAACTGAGACTTTGCAGATTAAGTTCTACCCACCCATCAAACAAATTATCAAAAGGAAAACTGATGGAATACTTTGTGAAGATGAGAAGGTCACGATGGCAAGCGTTGATTTTAGAGCAACCTGATGCCATGATTTGAAAGAGCAATGAATCCATGCTTCACCTTCAGTCCCACGTTCTAGAACTCCCAATTGCACACAGTTTCATAAAAGCTTCACATCATACTGTGAAGGGTGTGTTTTCACAATGCCAGGCAGCTCACCGGTCACATTTCTTAGTGCAGAATGAATGCAGTATTGTGTTGGCTTTTGTGTTACAAACTCTCGAAACACAATCCTGCAACAATGGTTGGGTGATGAAAACCCTAAAGCTCCTCTTTCCACCCCATTCCCCTCCTCAAATTCCATGAATCTTGCACTACCAAGTTGCAGAACCTTAAATCCTAATTCCTCAGTTGTTTGCAGTTTGAGAGCTCAGTGTGATGGGATGCCTGGTGAGGAAGCTCTCTTTCATGTTTGCAACTCTCGTTTGCTTTCAAGACATTCTCCATTTCGAGACACATTTTTGATTGCACATGCTCTTGTACCCTCCATAGCCTGCCAAAGCCAAACCGGCGTCAGATTTCGTAGGCTACTTGGATTGCGGAACAGGGGGAAGGATTTGTCAGGTGTGTGGGTACTTAGCCATGCGTCACACAAGCTGTATATATGAGTATTATATGCCTGTTGCCGATGTCTCCACTTTGGTCTCTGTGTGCGAATGCCTTTGCAAATTGTTTGAGCTTCGTTTCTGAGCAGTTGTCTGCAGGTTAGGCTTTTTGGGTTCAGTGCTGAAGTTGGAGTCATTTGTGAACCACCACCTACCTGTGTCTGGGATCGTTGCAAATGAACATGGTTCTAGGCGTAAGTTGTCGATTGTGGAGGAATGGCTCGAATGGATGACGTGTGTGGCATGAGGTTTCGCATTCTTCTGTGTGGTAGTTGATACATGTGCAGCGTCGAAGATGAATGCAAGGTTGGGTCCCACCCGCTGCGTAGCTGAGTTTATGCACCTGGTCGCTCCTCGTGGGCATGAGCATCTTCTGTTCTGGTAGGTCTTCTATGTTGTGCTGTCTCCGGCTCATATTGATGTTGCGCTGCGATTGTGGTGTGGGTTCCGAGACTTCAGAAATGAGGGGTGTTTAATGTTGTACGTTGAGACAGATTCTTTAGTGGTTAAATTATTTTTCAGATATCGAATAATCTCAAGACCTTAAGCTAAAAGCTACCAAAAAGAGGTTGTAGACATGTTGTGGCGATTTTTAGACATAGAGGGGCTTGTACTAGTTTGGTGTTGGTTTTTAAACTTCGTGCCTGTAATCCAAGCCGCTTGTACTGGTCACTGTAACTCCACCTACCCTTTTTCTCTCCAATTTACCTTAATTTAATTTTCTCCTGAAGTCGGTGTACAAGGAGCATGAAAAGTAGGCGTATAGTCTGTGTAATCACGCAACACTGGTTCGCTAAGTTTTCGATCCTACGAACTTTATTCATGAATCCTACCACAAATGATGCAGTTGAATTCTTTTCATCGGTATTTCATGCATCTTCGTGGGCTGGAGACCTATGTTTTAGCTCGATTTTGTGGCAAAATAGATCAATCCGACAGTTAGGAAGGGGGAGATTAGGGACTGGAGCAGTGCACAACACGCGACCGGTAACAACAGAGTTTCGTACATTGGAGGTCCATTCTCTTTGAGTCACTTCTAACTAAAGGAATTTTCGATTATATTGTAACTTGAGGATATTGGTAATTTCTATCTGTCACCCAATATGCTGAATCTGCAAATGGGACTGTATTAACTCCACCTTCAAGAGCTCATTGCCAGATGAGAACGAGAGAGCGGTACCATTCAATTATTCAGAGCTTGAATAATTACCAGAAGAAAAACCCAGAGTATAATGACCATCCAAACCCTTGGAAGGAGATGATGGAGCTCATGTACAGCAAAAATCAATTGGGTGTTCAGAAGCAGGGCCTACAAGGCTGGATAGTGACCTTTTAGATTGTTCTTTTGGGGAGGACGATCCTTCGGTGAAACGAAAATTGTGTATATTATGGACACGTTAGACGGGATTCAGTACAGCCTGTATATTGGTGCGTTTAGAGAGTTCAACGCAGGTAGTCATACAATTGATCCATCAAATGGCTGATTAAAATTGCTTTTCTCACTTTACTAATATACACAAGTATATTTTGATTTATTTGTGAAAAGGGAAAACTAGGGTGCGATCTAGTTCATTCGCGTCACTACTTTTACGCTGTGTACAGGCACCAGCATTCGGGCTATTTTGGCTACTTTGGTGGTGGTATCAGAAAATGAGGAGCACTCTCCGTTTGCAGCGAAAGGAAGTTTCCAGTTTTACTTTAAGAATTAAAGCCATTCTTGTCATCAGTCGTACGATCTCAGTATCTGGTCGGTGCAGCAGTTGTGTAGACACAGTAGCAGAATTTTGAGAGCCTGCGGAAGAAACAAACAACCGTGAAAGATGGAGAGGTGCTCTACTTGGCAGATACTTTACAATCACTTCTAATTACCTTCTTTCATATTTCGAGAGCTGCTCCATGTTTCCTTGGAACCCCGAAACATGATTGACGGAGGGCCGTTTCAGAATAACTCGGTAAAGCTTTGATGTCTCCACGCACTTATTCAACTTCAATCCTTCAATCAACCACAGTATGGTTAAGAGAGTTCAATGCAGGTAACAATACAACTGATCTATCAAATGTCTAATTACAATTGCTTTTCTCACTTTACTACTATGCACATGACAGAGTATACTGTTTCACTTTCTGACGTCAAGTGTTGAACTTCAAGAACCAAAGATTGGTTGCGACAATCCATGGATTCGCTGACAACGACACTTTTCCATACACAACAACTCAACTACGTTCTGGTGAACGTGCTTTCCTTCCCCAAAGCTATTGAATGTCAGATAGTATCGTGAATTGATTTTTCGCTGGGTATTAAGAGTCTGCTGCTTCAAGCATTCTTCCCAGGGAACCCTATATTAATGTTTGTGATGCCAATTCTAATATGTTTACATGCACATGTTGTCTTTGGGTGCTGGGCGTGCAGACCAGAAGAATAACCTGGACAAGTCGAAGAAACGGGGGAAAGTCAGACCAATTGCGGCCTCTGATGAGCATCATGAAGAGCCAAGACGCACAGATTCTCAAGTTTTTTTTCAGTCCTAATCAGACATCGATTATAACCCTTCAGGATAGCACATCCTTAATCTAAACCACGTACTTGAACTGAACCATAGTTACGTGCAGAGATTTAGATCTGTTAGAGTTTAGTAGACTCTCCTACGACTTGCTGAACTTGAGTCGAAGGCACATTTGTCAACAGATTGTCTTCTCGACATTCGCTGTGATGTTTCCGGATCTAAACAAAAGAAGAGGTCGTGATTTTGTCCACATGGTGGAACATGGACTACCTGCCACGGTTGCGCTGAAAACCATCTCCGGGTAAAGATTAAGTTCCTAGTTAATTCCTAATGTCATGTACATGGTGTTGCATTCCCTACCCGCGTGTCATCTCTACCAGCTGTGGTTCGGGTGGATAACATTAAAACAGTATCCAATACAGAAGTTAAAGTGAGCTGATTTCTTCCTTCTTCAATAATGCTCTTCGGACTCTCCGAAACAGTGAAGTTTCGTTGTAATTTCCATACAGATCAATGTTGAAAGCTTCGATGGCATTAGCTTTACCATTTTCCGAGGGCGCTTAACATGAATGACCTTCGTGGACCTGACTCGAGCTACACCTATTTGGAAAATTTGTAATGGGAATGTATTATGGGAATTTTCAAACCATACAATATACACAGCCCCACCTAGTTCAGATGGAGGCGCATAGTCTACACTCGCTATCTTGCTATGCAGCAATTTCTGAGTTTCGGATTGCCTTTCTCTGCAGCACTGAAAGCTTACATTCCGTCGATGAAAAACATCTCTCGTCCGAGGAGCAATTATTGGGGCTGGAACAAACGTCGAAAGTCCCCTGGCAAGCAGCTGCAGGACAAGGTGACCTGAACATCTATTGAAGCTTCTGGAGTGAAAAAATCTAAACAGTGAACAACGCAGGGTAGTTTGGACAAGTTCTTACTACGCTAAAACAGTGCTACCACACATTTGTTCTCGTTTGGTTGGCTTAAGTTATATGGCTTGGATTGCCGGTCCGTGCATGCCATAACGGGGAAATCAAAGATCCTCCTCGTCATCGTCGGAGCTTTGGAACTTTACTGGAGCCATTAGGAGGACAAAGAGGAATTATGCATAAGATGTGAAGCAATTGCATTTGAAGCACACCTTTCCACCACTTACTAAGGCGCTGAAGCTGATTTGCACTCCTTTTTGGGTGGTAGAAGGATACAACTGTCACCCCTTTTGACTTCACAACAACGTCGTCGCAACAAACGGTAGGTGATTTAAAACCTTCTAGTCCTTTGGCAGGACATCTACTCCCTCGGCTCAAGGGCATGAGTGTCCTGTCCTGGCCAACCTCCGAGGAGGTCAGCAACCAAATTGCCGTGGAACAGTTGTCTTCGGGAACCATAACTTGGAAGGACGGAGCTTTTTCTATATCTTCCCAGAAACTCGACTTAGGATTGAGAAACAGTATAGAATCTTCAGTTTTGTTGTCGAGCAGAAGCACGGGTTTGACTAACACCTTCTACTTGGTAATTTTGATTCACCTGTCGACTTTCATTGAAACCAACAGAACCCATAAGTCTTTCTTATTGTCACCAGATTGACAGTTCAAAAGGTTTTTAATAGAATGTGATGAAACAACTATACCAATTCCGTCAGAATACGCCGGTTGAGAAATAACCTACTCAAATTTACCATATATTTTCCACAGTGAGAATCGATGAAGGCGATCGCATTCATGACAGCAGTGTAACTTCATGTTGCCGAAGTCCGAGTCATGCCCACGCGTTCTCCGCACATGGTCCACTGTTATCGGCAACCATTCTATATTCCGAGTATGCACATATTGTCGCAAATAACCTAGATCCGATGAATTCCTCTAAAGCAGGGACATGCACATCCCTTCATCACATTCAACACAACCAGAGCATTGATATCGGGCCGAAAATCTAGGAGCTTCAATCTGGTTTCTCCGATACCAGATACATTTTAAGCCACACTATAATCACAATCATGAAATCAATGGTCCCAGAACATTCTTCATACACGACGCCTCTGATGAATCAGGACAGCGAAGATCGATATAGGTTTGAACCGGGGGGGGGGGGGGAGTTGCGGGGAAAATCATTGAAAACTGAACACAGGTGGTAAATGGGTTCTGCAATTCCAGGGTGAGGCTTGAATGCAAATGACATGATCCGAGTAATGAGGCATGATAGCCCTCCCCAGGCTAGGACAAAAGACGATGATGACCGTCACCCAGGGGTATTATTATTAAAACTAGAGCTCCTCCCAGAGCATGATTATACTCTCTCTCTCTCACCCAGTTTCTGCTCGACGCTCAGGCCACGGCGATACCCACATATCTCGCATTATTTCAATACTGCAACTCCACCCTCATTCTATCCACTGCTTTAGTTTCACCACGACTTGTAGGGAATGACACCCCCTTAGCTCATCGGTAGCTTGCTCGATAACCAAGGGCAAGCTCGTAACAAGCTCGGAGAATACCAGAGGGGGAAAATGGATCGAGAGAGGCTCCCCAAAAGAGGATCCCAGAAATGGTGCCGGAGGAACGGCGAGTCATAATCGAGACTGCATCCATCCATCCCGTTGGACGCTGCTGCTGCAATGTGCAACGATCTAGAGAGTACCGTGCCCTTGGATCTGTCAGAGCTTCTCTCCCGTGTCAGCCATTACGAGGAGCACCACCACCACCACTACCATCGCCACCACCACCAGCCAGCGACTGAGGAGGTCCCCTCCGTGATACGAGCTCCTATCGATGAATGTATCATATCATCGACGAACGATTAACGAACGACATTCATTTACACCGACCTTGTTTCCCACGCCCGCCAGACCAAAGCAGTCAATGGTTGAAGAGGGGGGGTTTACCGCGCGAACCAATTACCGTAATTCATTCTTTTTTCACTCACTGTAACTTTTTGTTTTATCTTTTTAAGGAAGGAGGCTTCTAGAAAGCTTTCAACCGATCTGGGCCTGGTTCAATTCAAAACCACCGTGCGGCAGAGTGTGAAGTTCCCTAATTTTAATTTGGAGAATTTTGTATTAAAAGGATTCGGAATATGGCGGCAAATCTCCAGCTAATCCTCGTCTTAGTGTGAGACGGTTTCTTTATCAATTAAAAATCGTTGTTGTGTTATTTTCAAGGGCTGTGGAGGGATAAACCAAAGAACAGAACAGAAGTGTGGTGATTTTCTAGGTCTTGATAAGGGAAGGAAGGAAGTTATGCTGTTAAATAGTGCGCTAATTGTGAGGAAATGCGATGCGTTTCTATATTTAGAGGGAAAGGGTTCGTCAATGATTAGTGAGAACTAATCACTAACCTCCTCTTGGTCTGTACACCTGAGAGAGGTCGTGATCGCACACGTGTCGGAGACCCATCACTTCAATACTATATGTACAAAAGTGTTTTACTTTTTCCTCCTTACTTTAAAAGTTTATTAATTGAAGATACAGTTATTGTGTAGTAGTGTTAAAGGTACCAACACCTGATGTTAAATAGGATATATTTTGTTTACATCCTCTTGAAATGTACCAATCGTGTTTCAGAAAAAAGTAAACACAAGTGGTTGAGACAATGACGCAAAGCTTCTTTAAGCCATTCCAAAAACTGAAGAAAACTTTGAAGTGAAGTCAATCAGAAGGACCTTTTCTAACAGTATACTTGGCGTCATGGGATGGCAGAGTTATAAAACAAAATAATTCGAGAAGATTTGCCTTGAGCTGTGTGCTCTTCATGAATTGATGGATGAATCGATTTAAGGACGGATGAATCTATTAATTGATGGATGAATTAATATATGGATTCATCCAATAGTCCCGTCATTGTTGTATTGTTGTTGTTATTATCATTATTGTCATTAATTCAACAACAAATAGTTATTATCCCCATGCAAGCATCCATTTGTGCAATGTTAGGAATTTCCCAGCTGTGATTTAAACCAACTTACCTCTTGGTACCAACTTGCCATTCTTTGGTTGTTTAAGGTCAATGTGGACCATGTCATTAATTCTTTGATTGCATGTAATTTGTTGAGTGCTTTCCTTGTATTTCATAAGATCAATACATAAGAAAAAAAAACCATAAGTTATTTGTGGTTTATAACATAGCTTGTATCATTCCATCAATTGGTTATCAAAAGTCATCAACTATAAATTGATATTCTAATCTGTTTCCTTCTCTTGAGATATACTTATTGTGTACAATTATTATTATTATTATTATTATAGAAATATAATCAATCAAAAAAAAAAAAAAAAAAAAAAACTGTTACTTAATTGTTTATATAACTTGTACATGATCAATCAAGATACAAAAATCATGAATGAGCTCCTTTACACAAATTTTTAAAACAATGTCAACATTTATGTTTATATAAGTATATACTCATAAGCATTTATTTTTATTTTAAAATATGTATGAAAAATGGGTATAAATAAGTTGTGTTTCTTTAAAATTATATATTATACAACATATATTAAAGAAAAATTTAAACCTAAAAATATAAAAAAATAAGACCAGATTTGTTTACGTACATCTAAAAACATGAAAGGAATTTAAGTTAACTAATATTTTACAATTTAATTTTTAATAAATGTAAAACTTTGCAAGCATCATAGAACTAATAGCAAGATTGACTTATAAATATATCAAGTTTGTTTATATCTAAAAAAGACATTATAATTTGTTTATAATGTTATTTTATTATTAACTTTTAAATATTTATTCTAATTATAGAATGTTAAATTCAAATCAATGTTGTTTTTTAGCTACTACAAAGTAGCTTAAAAACTAATGCATATCTATGTACAAAATTAATTTTCAAAAAAGAATAATTATTTTATAAGCTTTTAGATGAAAGTAAAAATTATTTTATATATAAACATATATTTTCATATTTAAAGATAAAGTAAATATTTTTTACTCTTAAAATTTATGTTTCATATAATTAAAGATGTTAACTAGCTGTATTATATAATGTGTAACAGTGGCAAAAAATGTGAATCAATTTGTAATTAATACCAAAAACAAAACTGCTAAGAAAAATTAGAATATTAAATTATTTATCCCATTCTTAAAAATAAATAAATAAATAATATTACAATAGGTTTTAACTTTTGAACATCTAGATTCTTACACCTTGAGAATCATATGATATTCCTTCTATGTTTCCACATTGGAACTATCTGTGTACTTGTCTCAAGTCCTTGAAGTTTTTGTTTCCATCAAAATCAATGTAAAACAATTCAACTTTAAATCTACCTATATTTGTTAATCTTGTTTTCTTCAACCTAATCTTCAAAGCTCATGTGTTGAGAAATATCTATATCTTTATGAATTTCATTTTATTTTCATTTTCTTCAACCTAGTCTTCAAAGCTCTTACTTCTTTGTTGAAAAACATCTATATCTTCATGAATTTTATCCTACAATTCTTACACCTTAATGATAGATCAAAAGTATATGATAAAATAACATACAAATATGTCAAATGTAATTTCTTTATTATGATTTTCTTTTTGGTAATTACAATATA